CACCAAGCTGCACACAACAGCTACTTGGAACTTTCCAGTGACAATAGGGATAAACTATATTTCTCCTCCTCATTTAGAGCATGTGACACACCATTAGTTAGACAGTTCTGATTCCATCCAGTAAAGGGCAGTGATACACATCTACACTTCACTATTTTAAAATACAGTCCCAGCACCTGATTTCTTAATGGTAGAGGCAGCCGTTGTGTACTTTCCCATTAGGTTCTTCATGGCATCACATTAGTCCATTGTTTTCTGGCTGACCATGTTGATTGCCAAGACTCATTAACAATGCCTGTTCCAAATGACTCCTGATAACGTGTCAGTGTGTTCGCTCTTCTCTTCTCTTCTCTTCTCTTCTCTTCTCTTCTCTTCTCTTCTCTTCATTCCTCAGTAATAACAATGAAGTTCACCCCTATGCACCTCTTAAACACTCAAACTAGGGCTGAGAGCATAGAGCATGGGCCTTTGTGCTGGCCCCTAACGGGTTGAATCGCACCCTTTATGCCTGCCTTTTGGTGGCATTTTACAAGGGAAGTGCTGTTTACAGGATAATCATTCCCTGTCTATATTCTGCTGCTAAAGGTCTATGTCAGGAGCTGCTAAAGGTCTATGTCAGGAATGCTTACCCCATGTCCAGGTGGAGCAAAAATATGGCACACAGATTCCTCCTGAGGAGTACATAGAGTGGGAAAGTGAGGGGGGGGGGTTGTTTTGTTTTGGGGTGTGAGAGAATTATTGGTTGGACATTTTAGAGGAACCACATAATTATTAGCGATGTGTTGAATTGGGAATATCTGCTAATCATTATGGCTAGACCCCCCCAAACACCTTAAGGGCTCCAAAACTGTAGGGAGAGAGAGGTTTCTATGTCCTTCCGGGAAGCTCATTAATTGGAGGTGAGGAGAAAGGAAGAAGGTTGGTTGATAATGGCCTCATCTTTCAGCTGGCCAATGAGCATGCATAGCAGGCCAGTGGCAGAGGTGGCAGTAGACTGAGTGAATGGGGGTAAATAGAAAGAAAACTGTGTGGACATCAGATGAGATGACTCATGATAGGCCTAAATTTAGGCCTTGAGCGTGGTGTTTGAGTAAGACTGGGGCTAAGGGAAAGAGTGACTGGAAAGTCCGGGAGATAAGAGAGGCAACCCGATGAGGGAGGGAAGGATTGTGTAACTTTCATTTTGCTTAATATTGTGTTTCAAATCCACAGAAAACAAGTTGCTTCCCTTGCTCTCTAGACACAAAGGACCAGTTTTGCAATCTCCTCTTATTGTTTCTGTGATAAGCCAGCATTTTCCATTTCTGACACTGGACAAAATGTCCTGCAGAAAATTCAGTCAGTGCCATGACAATTCCCAGCTGGAACTCTAGAGCCAGAGCATGTCTGTCTAGTTGATTTTTCTCCCCACAATATATTGCCAAAGCTGCCGTCAGTGGAGGTGCTGAAGCTGGCGTTCCCTCAGTATAAAGGAAAAAACTCTGCTGAAAGGCTATTCTCCATGAGAGACCCTCAGCTCTCTAATTGTTCCAAAATAGCCCTAATGTGTTAACAAGGCTCATCTATTCACCAAAGTTTTGGGGGAGATGTGCTTCATATGAAGTGGAGTGATTTATTGAATAAGTAGGAAGCCATAACGTGACCTTGGATTTCCAGGTTGCAAAAAATGACTCTGGGTCAAATTCTAGCCCCAGCTCTGGCTGGTTTGTGTCACTCCAGTGGTGTAAAGCAGCTGAAAATGGATCTAATCCTGTGTGGAATTTCATTTCCAAGCAGAGTCTTTGAATGGCATAGAAGTGCCATACACCTCCCAGCCTATGGGGCATGGCCCAGGAGAAAGAGCGTGCAGTCTTTCTTTGCCCTTGTAATCCCTGGCTGCTGAAATTTTCCTTTGGATCTATGTGCAGTTGGACCTAAATCCGAGCCCGCTCTGATGCCAGGACCAGCTTATTCCCAGCTAGTTCCAGAATCAGAAGGAAACAGAGTTGTCACGACTTGCTGAATCGGAATAGATAAATCTCTGTCAATGCTAATACTTAAAACCCTCCCATAAATCACTGAAGCTGTTTTTGTTTTTGAAAAATTGAATGGCACTTTAATAAACCCCTACCGCGTGATGTTTTTGCTTTGCTACTCCAGGGAAAAAATGTTTCCGAGTCTACATGCCATTTCCACCAGCTAACCCAATACATTCTAGCAAGGCATTTTGACAGAGAAGAAGAAAATATCGTGCACTGATAGATGCACTTCTTGGAAATGGCAATTCTGGAAAAATCTTGTATTAAAAAATGCTGACATGTAATACCATCTTTAAGTGACAGACCTGGCAAAGTTGTACATTCTTCTGTGTTACACAAAAAAACTGATTGAAGTAGAGAGACATCTTCCACCCCACAAAGTCGTTCTGTCAGCATTTTCCATTTTCTAAATGCAGTTCCCTCCTTTCCCAACTTTGGAGAGCAATGAAAATACAGTGTATTGTTTTAATGTGCTACTAATACTTCTTATACAATCAGCAGTTTATTGGGCAAACAACCCTGAGTTACTTGGGAAACTGCATCTTGGGGATCTGTGCTGGAGTGAAAGCATCCAATATTTAAAATGTATGCCTGCTGGTGGATTATTATTCAGTACTAAGTATAGAGAAGTTCAAGAAAATATAACAGATAATGAGATAACTATTTATCTGGGGTAAAATTGGCACATTTTCCAGTATTATCACTGCACATTTGATGAGAACATATTTTGTTCATGTGATCTACATTCAGATGAAGGCCATCTCAGTTAGTTTATCTGATTTCATGTATTTTTATAATAAGGCCTGGTGTCTAGTATTAATCACAAAAAATGTATTGAATTGTCAAATAAAGAGCATGAGTCTAAATAAGAGACAGCAATATAAATAGGACATCAGAAACCAGCACCTGGAGCCTACTGCTGCTCCTAATGAAGTCAATAGCTGAGGGTTCAATGATCCGGCCCCTGCTGTGCACACCATGCCATGTCATTGCTATAATCTTTGTTATGCCCAGTGACAGAAATACTGACAAACAAACAGGACAGGCACGTTCTAAAGGAACCAAAACCAACTCACAAAAAATAGGTCTGAGTGTCAGCAATGCTATCGTATTCATTCTTATTACAATGACAATTTCCTATTTTATACCTGTGCTAGGTATTTCATGAAAGACAGTTCTTGCCCCGAAGACCTTGCAATCTCTATTAATTATTATTATTAAAATGTATATGATGTTAAGTATGCATATCATTTTGCAGTGGGTTGGATGTAGCAAAATGACCTACATTTAATGCTATTTAATACACCTATGGTTTAATAGATAAAAGAGCAAAACAAAAGGTGAATAGCTTTCTTTCTTTCTTTCTTTCTTTCTTTTTCTTTCAACTCAGCGGATTCCTTGGAGCCCTTTCATCACTAGGGACACTCTAGTCTACCCTGACTCCTCAGTGAGATAGGCAGCTTCTTGCACTTCCCAATTCCCCCTCAAAAAGACTATGAGCATGATAGGCAAAGGTTCTCAAGCGTTTCTTATTGTGGGCTCCCTTCCAGATCTATCAATTGCCCGCATTCCCCTACTCTTCTCATTGCTGACACTTTGTGTGTTCTTCTTAACACTCCCTCTCTTTAGCCTTGTGTCCATATTTCACTGTTACATATAGATATAGTTATAGTGCCAGGTATACAACTGAAAAAACCCACCCTTCAGTTCTGCACTCAGTTAGACTGGCCAATTGCTGGGCAACTGAATCTGCTCTGTAGGGTGATTGAAGGTGAGGACTCTGTACCTCAGGGTCTCTGTGTATCTGTGTTCTCATTGATACATCTTGAAGTAAATTAACTACCTATTTTATATAACAAATTCCAGAGAGTTTTATAGCTTCCTCTGAGTAGCTTAAATGAAAATGCAATACAGTAAATAAAATCCACCATTGCTCAATTTCTCCTGCTTCCTCTCCAGAGATGTCTGGTGTACCCCCAATGGCACCAGTACCACAGTTTGGGAACCCCTGCTCTATAGGATTCAGGGAGCTGGGATATAAGCCTTTCCCCGTCCAAAACTAGACTCTTTTTTGCCCTTTTCCCTAGAAACAGCTAAACCTTCACCATTAAATGACTGAAAACAAGGAGCCAAGCACAGCCACTGTCTTTCAGGCAGTACAGTGCCTTCTTCACCTAGACCAGTAAAGGATGATGGTGTTGAACCACGTGGGCTTTAATGTGCTGAGGTTTAGGATGTTTTTAATCTAGCCAGATGCTTGAGAGAACCCCTTCTTCCGCACCCGTGTTTTCTTTTTAAACAAACCACTTCTGATTTCTACATGACTACCTTGGAGTGGAGTGGGGAGGGGAAGGTTGCGGCAGCCGAAGCAGCAGCATCTGGCCAGGTGTTAGGAGCTCAGCGCAGGGGCTCCCCCTGCTGACTCTATGCCGTCGGCGCCCTTTGCCCTCAGGTTTCTTTCTTGTAAGTCTGCCCGGGCTATTTATTTTCCTTCTCTCTCTCTCTCTCCACTCCCCACCGCCCACCCTGCCAGCGTGTAGCCCGGCCCCTGGATTGTCAGACGGCGTCTGCCTCTCTGAAGTTTGCAGTGGTTTCCTTTCCAGCCTGGCCTTATCTCGGTCTGCACGTTGCCTCTCGGTGACTAATAACACAATAACATTGTCTCCGGATAAAATAAAGTAGGAGCTGTTTACCCGCTCTATGGGGGTTCGGTATAAAAGGGAGCTGGCGAGAGCTGTCCAAGCCAGAAGCGCTCAGGCAGTCGCGCTGGAGAAGGAGCCTCCAGGTTTCCCAGCGCTGCTTTGGAGCCTGTTACTGGGTTTGCAGCTCGCCCTGTCCCAAGGGAGCAGCTTTCCTTTCCGAGGGCGCCTCTGGTGAAAAGCTCCCCCTGGGCTCTGCAGTTGAGAACTAACCGCTGCAGGGAGCAGGGCTCGTGACTTGTGCTTTTGGGCTGCAAAGGAGCGACCGGCTGGCGTTGGCGGGATGGATTGTGCACAGATGATTCTCTCCCTGCTCTTCGTGCTCTGGCCAGGAGCCCAGGAAACAGGTAGGTGTGAGCTGGGGGGCAAGGACGGAGTGCAGGGAGCTAACCACTAACGCGGCTGCTCCGCTCACATCCAGGCGGGATCAGAGGTGCCGCAACCCGGGGTGCTGCTGCACCCCCCAGGCATGAAGCGATTTTCATCGTGTGCAGGGTTTACGGTATAGTTCAGCGGCTCTCAGCACCGCCACTGTACAAATTGTTCCAGTGACCCGGGTGGGATTTCAGGAGAATGGTCCAGGACTACCTCGTCCTTTATACAGACAGCTCACGGTCTTCAAACGTCCACAGGACTAAATCAGGAGCGTGGTCAGGTCCCGCAATGGGCTTTCCCTGGGCTTTCTTCCCCCCTTGTCTTCTGCAAACCTCGGGAAAGGGTTTGCTCCCCCCACCCCCATAACTTGCTTTTGTGTTCCCCAGAGATGATCGAACTAGCCCGGGCAGAGCAGCAGCCCCATCACACGCTGCTGATCATAATTACGACTCTGTTCAATGGGTGTGAATCAGTCACCTCTCACTACTGAATGGAAGGTTTAAAAATCACCCCCCGCCCCAAATCCTACAGTAAAACCTTTGTCCCGCAGACTCCTGCAGGTTTGGGGGGCGCTGAAGTCTTGCTTGGTCTATATTCACTTATGGGTGTGCTGATTTCTTTCCATCAGTTCTCCTCCCCAAACAACGTGTCTTCCCCGGAGTCGGGTGGCCCCAATCGAAGGGAGGCGGGGAGGCTTCAAAACCGGGTAGTTCTGAAGCAGAATCACAAGCGCAGCCACCCCCTTGGTGGGGACAGATGCTACAAGGAGTCGTCACAGCCCCTGAGCATGGGAAGATGGAGAGGGTTAATGGAAGGGGCAGGTAGAAGAGCCGAGGTCCCGGAGGCGGGACCCCAGCGCCCAGAGCAATCTTCACTGCCCTGACTCCCTCACCTTCCCCAAGCGAGCATTGAAAGGGAGGGCGGAGGGGAATCGGAAAACTACACTCTGACGGTTGGGGAATCCTTAAACAACCGCTGGGTGTGTGTCTCCTTACCACAAAGCAGAGAAATGCACAAGCCTTTGAACACCTCCAGTAAACCACTGAGTTAAATGCCCCAGAACTATGCAGAGTCCTGCAGGGAGACAGCATGAGAATTGTAATCCCGCCCCCCAGCGCCCTGGTACCTCTGATGAGTGTGATTATGTTTCAGACACGAATTTAATCTCAGCCATGCAAATGAGCTATTCCGCTTTGCTAGACCCTGGAGCCAAAGATCTGGACAGGGGCGGGGGGGTGACTAGATAGATCGATGGCGATGGGACCAATCAATCTCCCTTCCTACCACTGCGTTCCCGCCAGCGCGTGCCTGGGTCAGAGCCGCCTGGGCCCAATTGTTACATGCAGCAGCTGCGATGCAAAGTGCTCCCGGGGTCACTCGCCTGCTAACCCCTTTGCTCTCGCTCTCTCCCCTGCAGCCTTAGGTGCTGAACTGAGCGCTGCTGCGGCCGCTTCTGTCGCCGAGGTTCGTCCTTCTAGCGCCACCTGGCCGCTGCGCAGGTCTAAGCGCTGCTCCTGCTCCTCCTTGATGGACAAGGAGTGTGTCTACTTCTGCCACCTCGATATCATCTGGATCAACACCCCGGAGTAAGTGGGGGGGGGGGCCCTTGGAACGCTCTAACCTCCCGTTCACCCGGGCATTAGGGGCGATTGTTGTGAGCCGGTTGCTATGGTTCCCTTTAATTAGGGCCCCAGTGTGCTTGGAAGGGGCACCACTGACAATGGCTCCCTGGGACACCAGCAAATTTTTAAGTGCATTTTTAGCAGGCATTTTACTTTGGTTGAAAAATAGGTTTAAAAAGGCCATGCACTGCTCTAGAGGAATATTTTTAAGATGGCTAGAGAGGAATGAGTGGTTGAGGATGGAACAGTATTTATTAGTACAGATTTCTCTATACTAATATAGAGCCACATCTTCTTGTACTCACACCGGTGTTCCCATTGACTTTATTGGAGAGACTACTCACATGAGGAAAGCTAGTGGGATTTGGCCTTATGGATGAAGCAAATAACTTTTAACACTAGGCACAGCAATTCTAGCCTTTCGAGAATTCTTAAAGTGTTAAGATACAACCAAGACTATTTCACAGTTAGGACAGGATGGTTGATGCTATAATATACTTTTCACTGAGAAGCACAGAAGGTTGAAATGCTGGTGTCTTGTTTCTACCACCCTTATTCCCCCGGAGTGGTAATTTTCTTTGGGAGTCTCTTCAGAGCAAAATCTGGCCCTAAATAACTGCAAATATATTCGGTGAAACCACACTAGTTCTTAAGGATGGCTGGGAGACCCCATTATGAATTACTACATTTTATAGAATAGTGGGCTTGGGTTCAATGCAGAACACGTTACATTTTTCACTTTCCTCATTAAGGGTGAAGCGGATCCTCAGTTGGTGTAGTGAATATTGACTTCAGTGGAGCTATGCCTATTAACACCAGCTGAGGATCTCTCTAATTTTTTTTTAATTGATTCTTTCTGTGCTTGCAATTTACCAAAGTTCAGACAGGTCAGGTTCTGTTGCATTCTATTGCATATTGATTCATATTTCTTAATTCATGATTAAAAACGCATTAGTCATGGAAGCAGACACGTAATCACAGTACTACAGTGGAAATTTTTCTGATAATCCCAAAGTTATGACCAAAAGAGCCTTCCCAGTCCCACAACCTTTACTCTCAAAAACAGTCCCATTGATAAGATGACACAGAACACACCCCTCAGTTCTAAGGCAATGAATTCAATTAATATCTTTCATGTTGATTTTCTGATCATAGGCGGACTGTGCCGTATGGGCTTGGTGGCCCTTCTCGATCAAGGCGGTCTCTGGAAGATACAACCCCTCGGAAGCAACCAGAATCTAGCAAGAGATGCCGATGTGCCAACCAAAAAGACAAGAGGTGTCTGAACTTCTGCCAAACAGGAAAAGAACTCTGGTGGGTTACTATTATTATTATTATTGTAATCAGTTTTGAACTGCACTCATTGTAAAGGGCCAGGTTGTGGTATATCTACTCATGTTGGTGAGTATTTACTCAGGTGAATAGTCCCAGGGAAGTCAGGGGCACTACTTGCCTGACAACTCACCGGCATCATTAAGGATACCGCAATCTGGCCCAGAAGCATCTGTTACATTTCTTAGCTTAAGAAGATGGATCATGTAAAAGTGTCACCAGGTAGATTGAAGCCTTGTGTTTTAATAGCAATATTGTTTTCTTTTATGTAAACAGGGCTCAGTCCACAATGGAGAAGGGCTGGGATCATCTTAACAAAGCTGAAGATTGCCTGGGACTTGGACTGAAGTGTGTGCACAGGCAACTACTTAACAGCAGGAAAATGAGAAGGTGAGCTACCGTACCCGCTCCTGAACAGGCTGATGATATGAAGTTTCAATAAAGTTATAAACACAGCAACTGATCCTACTCCCAGTTGAATCAGTGTGAGTTTAGCCTCTGACTTCAACTGGGAGCAGAATGGAGCCCTAAAACATTGACTATTTCTTTTGATTGTTGCTCATCCTATAAATCAGGGGTGGCCAAACTTACTGACCCTCTGAGCCACATAAGACAAACTTTAGAAGTTCAAGAGCGGGGATGCACCTACCCGGGCTCGGGTCTTCTGCCCCACGGGAGGCACTTGCTGGGGCTCGGGGTTTTAGCCCCATTCCTGTTGAACCCCCGACCCCAGCAGATGCGCCCTGCAGGGCTGAAGCCTCGAGACCTCCCTCCCCACTGGGCATAAGCCCCTCCCCCACCACTCTGCTGCAAGGTAGAGGGCTTCCCCACAAAAAATCTGGTAGGTGGAGAAGGGGTGGGGGGAGACTCCGCGAGCCGCACTTTAACTGTAAAAGAGCCACATGTGGCTCATGAGCCATGGTTTGGCCACCCCAGCTTTAAATCCTTATCTTGCACAATTAAGCTTATTGAGCCCCATACTGCTCACTTCTTATGTGTGCTCTAGGCTTAGCAGAACATCAACCTCAAACAGAGTACGAGCAAATTAAATCTTGACAGAAATATACATTGATTTTTAGTGTGCTCATGCATGATCTGAACTGTTTGAAATTAATGTGTCCCTATTAGCCTTGTAAAATGAGAAGATGAAATTCATTCAGGGTTGATTTTTCATGCATACTCCTCATTTATTGGAATGTAAGTTATTCATGTACCCAAGTTAAAAACGCCATCTATTCAGCGAGGCATTGCTGGCTTTATAGAACATCGTGGGTCTGATTCTCCACAGCCTTGCCCCTTGTGTTGTCAAAGAAACCTATGCAAAGTGAGTGCAAAATGCTGCCATTATAAACTACCACACAAAGGGGTAAGGCTGGAAAGAGACAGGACCTCAGAATTAGGACTTCTGGGTTCTATTCCCCACTTTGCCACTTACTTCAATGGGACTCAAGAGTAGGAATATAAGTATATAAAGGTTGCACTGTCAGACCCTGTGTGCCTACAGGCAACTCACTTAACTTCTCTGTTTCTCAGTTTACTCATCTGTAAAACAGGGATAATACTGACCTATCTCCTGGAAGTGTTGTGAGGCTAAATTAAATTGATGTTGAGAGGGCACTTAGAAATCCTCATGTAATAGGTTGAGTGGCATTAGCTGGCCATATTGCAATGCAGTGTAATCCCAGTTGAACGACATAAGTGATGCAATGTGATGAAGCCCTACAGCAGTGAGCCCACTTTTTCAAAGAACAACTTTGCAGTAGCTACTCCTGTGAGGCAATTTGCAGCTTGCCATTCTTGAAGTAATTTATGACTTCTCCATTTCTCTCTAAACAGAATTTGACTATGGGTAACATTTTCAAAAGCACCAAAGTCCCATTTTCAAAAGTGGCATAGGCACACAGGAGCAGAAGTTCTATTGGCTTTAACTGAGTCCTAAGGGACTAAATTACTTTTGAAAATGAGATTTAGGTTTCTAAGGCCCAGATCATCAAAGGTATTTAGGCTCCTAACTTCCATTTAAATCAATGGAAGTTAGGAAGTTGTGGATCTGGGCCCAAGTCACTTAGGTGCTTTTGAAAATTTTACCCGTTATCTGAATTCACTAAAACTGGGTTCCACATAATCTAAAAAAAACAATAATAGTAAAAAGTAGCCAACAACTACAGAATATCTTTTAATTTGGATACACACAATTTCTGGGGATTAGGGTTTTCAAACTTGCCACAATATCTAATGGGCTGGATCTTCAGTTGGTTTAAATCAGTACAGCTCCAATGGATCTACGGTAATTTACTCCACGTGAGGATCTGACCCCATAAATCTAGATTTAGATTTATTTAATCAAAATGCTGATTTTACACACACACACACACACACACACACACACACACACACACACACACACACACAACTATTATTCACACAAGATTGATCTCAATTTTTATAATAGTATTTGGTGTTTTTCTTGTTCTTACAGACTAGAAGCCATTGGTAACAGTATCAAAGCTTCCTTCAGTATCGCAAAGTTAAAGGCTGCACTGCATGAAGTGAAGAGGCTGAAGCATAACAGAACACATAAAAGGCAAAGCATCTGGAAAAGTCTGAAAACAACTTCTTAGTGTGGAGATCACCAACCCTAACCCTCCTCCATCAACAATAACTGATAGAGCATTGCCGAAGCTCCGTTTTGACTTTCACATTCCACATGGCAAAGGCATGTTGTTCTAAATATTAAGCCACCCTCTAACCTCCACCCCAAAGATAGCTAGAAGAGAACCTAAAGAAATCTTATATTTGGACAAGGTAAAAGCAATAACGACCTAACAGGTCATCCTTCTGGAATCCAATTGGATGTGTTACATTAACAAACGCTTATTGACAGCCGTCTGTCAGAAGAAAGGGAACGTTTGAATGTTGCTTCTGAAAAGAAGGTGTAAAATGGAGTGTTGTTGATCAGTTTGGCAGATTTCAGGGAGAAAAAAAAAGACTAATGCCAAAAGATGTTGCAAGGAATACCTGATACAGAAACTCCTAAAAAGAAGAGAAATCAAGATTTGAAAGGAGAGACTATTTTTTTTACTTATAAATTAAAATGGAAAGTGAACGACATTGTGCTACTTTAATCAGCAGTCATTGCATAGATACAAGTCTACCTCACATACTGTATGTTGCACTCCTGCAAAAGTATTTTTTACAAAGTATTGCCTTTACTTATCAGCCACAACCCTTTGCCTTTTTCAGCAGTCTGGTTTACTAGAACAACCACAGTTATCTGAACGGCAGGGCAGACGTTGTGTTTATTTGGCTAACCAAGGTTTTGGATAAAGAAAGGAATTTTCAACATAAATAATAGACAACAGGGGACATGATCTTGTTTAACATAATAGGGAGATTTGGACAACTGAAAGTCTAATAATAGGGTTTGTACTGTATTGCAGGTTGCCAATAATCCACTGACCCTGATGTGTAACAGAAAGTGTTGCTAGATTAAGGATTTCTTCAGTGTCTTGTGTGATGTAAATGTGTGGAGACAGAGGTTGTTTAAAATGAAACCAAAAGGCTAATATCGGGTGACTGTTTATAGCAGTGAATTTACTCACATTATTGAATTTGCTGACTGAGGGCTGATGGAATTTTATGATGTGCTTATTTTTTTAACAAATATTTATGTTCCTACAAATTATCCATTTATATTTACCATGTTGAATATACATTGGACTGGGCCATATTGGTCTATGCATGTTTTATGTATTTCTGTGTGAAATCGGGAAATGCTTTGTGCCTGTCAAGGTAAATATCTTTAGAAATAAATATTTTTAACTACTGTATTGGTCTGGTGGTTAATATTCCAAGATGTCAATAAGATGGCCGGAGTAAGGCTGGGCCTTTCCTGGGACTGCCCTTGGATGCAGTGGGAAGGCTTATATGTTCCAATGGCCCTGAGAGTTATGCCAATGGTAGTTTTAACTCCTGGTGGGGGCACCCAAACCAGACGAAAAGGACCAGATGAAAAGCAGTCCACTGGTCCTCCAGATGGGGCAGGGGGCTGAGTGAGAGGTCAGTAATCTATCCTCATGAAAAAGTTAACTCATAAAGTAGCCATTCTGGCAAACCGCATGATAGCTGGGGTGGCGGAGCCTTGCTTGTGCCCTAGGAGATGGCTAACAGGGTGTACAAGGATTCAGATTAAAAAATCCAGTAACTGTGCTGGGGTTGGATAAGAAATATTATATCCAGAGGAACCAAGCCTCCTCCCAGCAAAGTTAATGGTCCCTTTAACTTCAGTAGGACCTAGACCAGACCCTGAGGTATTCATAGGAAAGATGGACCCATAGTTAACATTTGCATCACTCCAAGTCCTTTGGCTTCAGGCAGCTGCAGCTGGATGGACGCTGCTTGAAGGGACTGTATGCCAGGTAAATCAAACGAGAAGAGAAGGTTTAAAAAGTAACTCTGACCATACAATGAAAGTTGTTATCAAATCCCACAGCCAAAGGAAATAGAGCTGGTAAAAACTTGTCAAACAGAACATTTCTTTGTTTTGCTTGAAAAACCAGGCTTTTTAAAATAAATCAATACATTCAGCCAAAATTTTGAAAATTTGTTTTATTAAGAACACAAACGGAATGAAAATGCATTTGAAATGTTCAAACATCCTGCAACCCTTTCATATATTGGTGACCAGTTTGCTGGCGTCCAAAGAACACTTATGTACTGGATGCTGTAGACTTCACTTTGTTACTCATAGACTTTAAGGGCAGAAGGGACCATTGTGATCATCTTAGTCTGACCTCCTGCAGGCCACAAAACCTCACCCACCCACTCCTATAATAGATCCATAAATTTTTTGTGATATTTCAGTTAGACATAGGGCCAATTTCCCCTCTCAGGCGCTCTGGGGCAATTCCATTGAGACCAAGATGGGCTGCCCTTGTGTGAAGCGGGACATGTAAACTAATTACAAACCAGACTTTTCAGCGAGAACAAGACTCCAGTGGGGGTTGCACCTTTGATCTCCGTGTTTTAAAGGGAATAGGCCCTCTGACTGCTTTAGCAAAGGATTTGGTGACCTTTGTCAGGTGTGAAAAGACCTCATTAAAGTTCATTCCTTTTCCACTGATTGACCTTCGTTGTTAAATAAATAAATAAATAAATAAATAAATACTCGGGGCTACGCTTCTTCCCGGCTTAAGTGAAACACAAACATACAGCCTGTTCAACATGGTCTTCCACAAGACCAGCATCATGCCAGGGGACATCGCAGGAATCAGCAAGGCAAAGGTGTGAACTGAGGCATGTAAGCAGACTAGGATCAGAGAAAAGCCGCCTCCTCACTCCAGCCTGCAGCCAGGGTCACTGTCAGGGAAGGAAGGAAAAATACAGTTTTAGAGTCAAATGACCTGGGCTGTGTTTTGGTTTGGTTTGTTTTTTTGACATTTTTCTTATATCACCACCTATTTTGGTGGATAGCAGAATGGTAGTTCCACCATAACTATGGTTCAGAGTGGCTAATTATTTAAAACACAACTGTTCCTAATCCTCTTAAATCCACATGTTGACTCAGATTGGCTCAACATTTGCTGTGCCTTATGAAGGTGTAGTGTGGGGTTAGTGGTCCAAATGTGGGGTTATTTGAGCAAGGAGTTCCTGAGGTATCACACCTTCCCCCTGAAAATCCTGTTTACAAAATCACTTGATTCTTCTAATATTTTTCGTACCTCAAACTGGCTCTAATCCTTCCCAAACTGATCTCAGCCCCCCCAGGATTTAACTCAGTTAATGCATAGCACCCATTGCCCCTGCGGGGAAGCAATATCTCCAAAGCTATTTAGGCTTCAGTTTAGAATTCCACATTGGATCAAAGCTTAATTGACATGCACCAGAGAGTAAACTACATATTTGCAGCAAGATTCTCTTTCCTAGTTTTTAGAAGGGCAGGAGGCATGACCAAGCAACCTTAATTGTGCATTAACAAACTCTTTGTGCAGGTACTAATGGCTCTAGATCATCTGGCATCTGAAAAGATGTGCTGAAAATGGATTTAAAACCAAATAAAGCAGAAAAAGGCCTCATAGGGCTCTTCATGCCTGTGTACACCTTGATGCTATAAACTGCACTCATGCGCTGGTAGGGTGATACCATGCTGTATATGGCAGAGAGTCTGTCTTGGAATTGCCCAAACAAGGCCCCCATACAACAACCTATGAGACTATCTTCATTATCTTAAAGGCCTACAAAGGGCAAAAAACACTCTATAACAGTGAGAAACAGAAAGACTCGCTGTCCTGGTGATGAGCATACATCAGTGGCTAGAATAGATAGGTGACAGAAAACTGAAACACAGACATAGGTGGAATTTCAAAGTCAGTTTATTGATGTGGTCATGAGAAAGGGAAGACAAGCTATTTTTAAGTCCAGGTTCCCTCAAATACAAATGTATTGAGGTGTCCCCAAGTTCTTTTCGTTCTCAAATTAAATAGCCAACATATGTCAATATCGCTTCTGCGCAAAAGAAGGGCTTAGTATGTTGAGATATTCTCTGCTGGGATTGCTGGAATAGGGCCCAGCCCATTATGAAATATATGTTACTTGGAATAAACCCACTACAGGCAAAATTCCTATTGAAACCAATGGACATTTGCCCAGATTACAGACTGCAAGATCAAGCCCTTCATTATTTTAATCAAACTAAACCTACAGCAATTATTTAATTAAATATAATTTGCAATCCGTTCTTGATTAGCCAATTTTGTTTCTTTAAAACATGACTCAAGTTGTATTTATTTCAGGAAAATAATATGATTCTGGAATTCTTTGCACCTTATCTACATGATTCTGACCTAATTTTTTCACAAATGGCTACTCTAATCTGTGCCACATTATCACAAGCTGTCCCACATTAAAACATCCATAATGTCCTAACGTTACATATGTTTAGAGTTTACTCAGCCAGACATCAGCCTCTTTGTTCATGTTTCCTTGTGTTAGGATAGATATAGTCTTCACAATACATTGCTGTATTTACAAACACATTGAGTTGGATAACCAGGGTTGGAAAGATATCTTGCTGTTTGCTTTCTCGATGGCAGATAGTTTTCCATTGTGTATATAAAACCGTATCACTTCCCAGTCTGACTTCATCAGCATCATGGCACTATTAATAGGTTTCTCGTGTCAGCTGATGTCTTTATTTAATTTAGAATCCTCACTTCGTATTTTAGGAACCAGGCAGAAATTAGGACCTTTGAGCAATTAGGTTCGTATGCTCATAAATGATGGTGATAGCCACAGGATAGATAGAATGCTATGGGTAAAATACAAAGATGGTAACGTTTTTCCTGAGGTAAACATTGTATGAGTGACAATTCAAAAACTCAGCCAGATTGAGTCCCAATTTTCTCTTTGATTTGATTGAAATGAGATACACCTCTACCCCGATATAACATGACCCGATATAACACGAATTCGGATATAACGCGGTAAAGCAGTGCTCCGGGGGGGGCAGGGCTGCGCACTCCGGTGGATCAAAGCAAGTTTGATATAATGCGGTTTTACCTAAAACGTGGTAAGATTTTTTGGCTCCTGAGGACAGCGTTATATCAAGGTAGAGGTGTATAAAACAATGTTAGGTGAAAAATGATAGTGAAGCCAATTTTTCTATTTTTCAATGCCATTGAATAATCAGTGTTATAATAGTTATGTGCATAGGACAAGTTCCTGTAGTTGGATTACTGCAATGAGACCTGAACTCTGTCTTAAATTAGCCTGGTTCAAAGTAATTCTTTGACTTCAGTAGAATCATTACAGGTTTACACCAGTGCAAATGAGAGCAGAATTGGGGCCAGAATGTATCTGGCCTTTATTGTAAGACTTTGATGTGGCAAATCAAAGTTTTGGCTGTGTACTGCTAGAAGATCTAAAGTCCTTTTTTTTTTTTTTTAAACCAGAATGCACTTGTTAAAAACAAATTTAATAAAAGCCACTTTTGAAAGCAATGGAACAACTTTCCTGACCAGGATTTAATTCACTGAAAGTTTAAATCAGAGATGGACAAACCTTATGGAATTTGACGTTTTATGAACCTGTCCAAGTATTCTTTTGGATCTGCAAAACTGGTTTGAGCTAACCAGCTATTTCTCCTGTAATTTAAGCCCCCTCTCACCCTCCCCCCGCCCCCAAGGGAGATTCAGTTTAAAAAACAAACATGTTTTTCTAGCTAAGGGAAAGTCTATGTTATGTACAAGGGATTTAAAAAACAGCCTCCAAAAAGCTAGGCTGACATCAAAGGTGCCTTATTTATGCTACAGTGTATTTACATTTTCCCTTGCCTCCTTCACTCCTTTTCATGAGTTTAAAGTTACGCACATGTCTAAATCCCTCATTGAATTGGGGCCATTGAGATTAAGAATAGTGGAACTGAAGTCCACAGGACTACTCATCTGCTTAAAGTTAGGCATGTGTGTAAGTACATTGCTGAAACAGGCCCTCTGTATTTGTCTTTCATTCTTTCCTTTCTCTTTATTTCTATTTTTTCATGGAATTTTTTTCTCCGCCCTGCTATGTTTCACTTTCTCTCACTCCTAACTAGATTTTGAACCCAGTACCATTCAAATTCAAGAAAAAAGTTCAAATCTACAGTAC